TGTTCGCAGACATCATTATTTCGTTTGGTTCCATTTCATCAAGGCGATTCAGAAAGCCAAAATAATCACATACATTCTTGAAAGCATTTATCCTGTCTGAGAGCGAGAATATTAAATTGGTCAATCACTGGGATAAAACTTGTTGAGCAAAAATGATCACTTGGGGATTGCTGAACTTCATCTCCAGTTTCATAACTCAATGGATTGAGGCGAACATTTCTATTCCGCTGACAACGTTGAGCTTAGGAATATTCAGTTGAACCAGATAATTTCTTTGCACGTTCTTCATATTGAGCAAAACATTCTCGTTTTGATTCGACGAATGCTTTCAGTTAAGTAAGGGCATCTACTGCAGACTGCAATACCATTTCAGGACTCTGAAGTATCTTGTTTGTGGCATTGAATTGCTCCAATATCTCATTCCAAAACAATGAATATAGCGCAATTTCGATCTTGCACATTTGTTTGTGAAGACCAGCAGCAGCATTGCGAACAATATCCTTTTCCTCCTTGTTAATTGAAATTTTTTTCAAAGTCACCTTAAACTTGTCATATCCACCAACAAGTGCCTTAACTGCATCATTTCTGCATAACTAACGAGCATCACTCAACCCTTTAGGTGTCAGCAGTTTTTCTTGTTTGTCTTTTCTTAAGAGCTAGACAGTGCTTCTGTTAGGATTTGGTAACGTAAAAGTGATGCTGTGAAAACCGAGAAATACTTTGATTTTTTGATAGAACAGAAAATGTACTTTAAAACTTGTGAGCCCATCAAATTTATAATTTCTTCACAAATAGTGGAAGATAGATAACTGGTATGGCCGCTTCTTTTATTAGTATGCATCTTAATGTGAGCAGCAAGAAAAGTGTCATATTCACTCAGCAGTTCTAAAATTCGTAGATAATTCCCATTGTGTGGTGATCCAACAATTTCATTATCACCTCGATAAGCTAACCATTGTACTGCAATGAACTTTATAGTACTTATTACACGTTGCAGTATTTGATTCTAGTACACACATATTTCAGATTCCTGCTTTGCCAGCTCATGGTAAATTCCTCCAAACTTTTTGCCACGCTGTGCCAAAGTTATAATTGCTTCCAGATGGCCTTTAGATGATTCATGTTTACTGACACGCATTGAGGCATGTGTCCAATAGCAAAAACCAGAACTTGAAAAATTAGTAGTGATACTTTTGGACCCAGTCAATTTGCAAATAAAGCAGTATACTTTTCCTGTGTGTGAGGAAAAGCACAATCAATTACGTTGACATGTTTCACTGTTTGTTGTTTTTCGTAGGCACATATTTGGGGTACATTTCCGAAAAAAGATTGAGCCATCAGGTTTTTCTTGTTTCTGTGATATTGAATATTTCCTTAGGGTATCTTGATCACAATTTTGCAACAACGAGGTAGGTCCCTTCTCTGCCCAAAATGTTATCATATCTGTTGAAGCTAATTCTGGCTTAAACCAATATCACTCTCAAATCCAAGCATAGAGGCATGTTCATGTTCAATTGTTACAGCTTTTGCCATGATAGCTAGTGTTGCTTCCTGTTGCTCATCTGCTTCTGCTATTGTTTGATTGTCACCAATGTCTTTCGATAGAAACTCCTCAATTGGTAGTAGTATAGCTGAAGTTCCAGGTAGTGACTTTATCTAAATCTCCATCTCGTTTACTAAAAAAAGGCACTAATTTTTCTTGATTTTTCAAAAAATTTCCTGTGCTTTTTTCTCTTTTTCTTGTGCTGACTTACGCTTTGAAGATCCACTTTCATAATTGCGAAAAGATTTATGTCTGTCAGACATTATTTTTCTAAAAAAAATTAAATTTTAGTGTTAAATGTTACTGCTATAACTTAATATGTAAATTATAAATATATACATATATATACATACATATATATATATATATATATATATATATATATATATATATATATATATATATATATATATATATATATATATATATATATATATATATATATATATATATATATATATATATATATATATATATATATATATATATATATATATATATATATATATATATATATATATATATATATATATATATATATATATATATATATATATATATATATATATATATATATATATATATATATATATATATATATATATTAGTGATTTGACAATTTCATAACCCTATATGCCCTTTCTGACTCTATCCCTAAACCCTATATGACTTATAAAGCCGAAGTCTTTTTTTGAGACTCACTGTTGATGATCAGCTAATGCTAAAGCTGTTCCTAATGTATATTTGAAAATAAGTGCTATCTAACAGAAGTTTGACCCAAGTGTTAAACTTTTTATATGGATAATAACTTATAAAAGCTATTAAATGCGTACTAATTTAATATTTTTTTTGAGCCACTGTACACATTTCACTTTATTCAAAGATTAGATCTTTTTTGACCTTATAACTTAAAAAGTAAAAAAAATTTATGATAAAATAAGTTTAACATTTAATATAAACAAAACCATTTACATTAAAAAAAAGATTTTTCAAAAATTTAAACCAATTTTTTCTAAAATGACACAAGTTTCAACTTAAACCACTATTTTTAATAAAAAAGATTAACATTTGAAACAAAAAAAACCATTTACTTTGAAACAAATAGACCTGGCGAAAGTTTGTTGTTATTTATTTGCTACCATTTTTATTTTTTTCCCTACAAACCGCGCGCTATGAATTTGGTTAATATACCTAATATATATAAATTAAATATAAGTAATCTCTAAAATACAAAGTTTACATAAACTTTATATTAAATATAATAACTTATACCTCTATTTTTATCGTTACCCTTATTTAAGGCATGTTATTGAATTTTTTTTTTTCATTATTTGTGGGGGCCTCGGGCTAGCGCCCCGGTTAACCCCCCTATAATCCAGCCTTATATATATATATATATATATATATATATATATATATATATATATATATATATATATATATATATATATATATATATATATATATATATATATATATATTATATATATATATATATATATATATATATATATATATATATATATATATATATATATATATATATATATATATATATATATATATATATATATATATATACATATATATATATATATATATATATATATATATATATATATATATATATATATATATATATATATATATATATATATATATATATATATATATATATATATATATATATATAGGGGAGAGCGGGGTTGGTTGTCACGCGGGTTGGTTGTCACAAAGTTTATTACAGGAAATGTAAATAAGATATAGAAATTTCAAATTATGCAATGGAAATGTTATATAAAAAAAACATTTTTGCAGTAATTTTTATCTTTTTTTAGCGTGCAGAAGAAAAGTTATTCGTTTTTAAAGGTTTTTGATATGAAAAAGTAAAATTTCGCCTACTCAGAAATTTTCTTTTACCAAACGAACATTATTTTATTGTGTTTTGAATGTAGATTTATAAAGTACTTTATTCATTTGAGTAACTTAATCCGTAAAAAATTATCATGAAATTCTCACGCTTTTAGGTAAATGTACAGTTGTCCAGCAACTTACTCAGAAGGGGTTGCTTGTCACAAAATATATGGGGATGGTTGTCACACTTGCCTCGACTCCATGCGCTGCAAATTAAACGCCGCTTGCAGATTTTTTATTGGCTTTGTTTATTTTCCGCATTATTGAGGAATATTTTAATGTTTAAGATTTAAAAATATTATTTAAAAATCTAAAGTCAAAGTGTTATATTTGTTTAACTAAATATCTGTAATCTAAATTATTTTTATTTCAACGTGTATAACTTTAGATTCCGATCCAATGTTTAGTATAATTATAGAAAAAGGATTGCAGAAGTTCAACTGTTTATTGTTTTGTTTACAAACTAAAACAACTAGCTGTTGTTTAGTTTGTAAAACTGTCTGTTGTTTTGTTTGTGCATTGTTTATATTTAGTGCATCTATTGTTTTGAATCATTTTCCAACAGCCGATCAAGAGAACAGTGGATTCAATGTCAGGTTTGCCAAAAACGGTCTCATGAAGAATGCACACCAGGCTTACAACAATTTATTTGTGAATTGTGTTCTTTATCCAATAATTTTTAAAAAACCAAACCTAAAAACATTTATAGTGATAAACTAAATTTGTTAATTGTGTTATATTTAAAATATATATATTTCAGTTTATAGTATTTTCTTTTTCTTTTTCTTAGTAAAACATAAACGAAATTAATTTGTACTCGTTTTACATTAAATTCTTATCTAAACTTGTCAAAATCCAAATGTGACAATCAACCCCGCACCATGTGACAACCTACCCCGTGAGCGGGGCTAGTTGTCACACAGAAGTGGTCTTTGAAAAATGATTTTACAGCAATAAATATTTCACTCAATGTCATAAAAATATTATAATAGTTACTGGAAATAGTTAAACTAGCTTTGTGCAAAGTTTGGCATTGATTGGATGAAAATTAAAAGCTGAGTAGCCTAAAATGTAAAAAGTGTGACAACCAACCCCGCTCTCCCCTATATATATATATATATATATATATATATATATATATATATATATATATATATATATATATATATATATATATATATATATATATATATATAACAATTTATTTTCTTTTTAAAGTAAAAGTATTTTTTTGGAATATTGTTACCATAAAAGTTTTATGGTAACAATATTCCAAAAAAATCCAAATTGCTCAAACTTTTATGCTCAAATCTTTTCCAAATTACAGTGAATAATGAAATGATAATTAAAGAAATTTCCATGTGGTTTCTGGTGTAATTTAATGGCAAGCTCGGAAGTTAAATGCACTTTGCCAACTTAGCCATGTTGCCATATAGCCCGGACTCCCCTATAAATATATATGTTATTATTATTATATACACATATTTGATTAATATCTTTATGATTTACATAATAAATATTTGCTAAGTCATCTCTCAGTCTGTGTTTTATATTAAAAACTTTTTCGAATAATCTAACTAAATAAGTATACAAGAACTTTAATACTATATGTAAAAAATGTTTTTATCCCCAATTACATACTCGTGATACCCGCTATCGACAATAGATGTTTCAGTCCAGGTACGATAAGAATCATCGAGACATTTCGATGATTGACCTTTGATAGATAAAGGTGAAAGTGACAAATGAGTTGCGTTTGAATGTACAAATGAGTCAGCTGATACGGAAGATGCTAATATACTTTCAGCGCACCAAAGTCTGTTAGTATCTATAGAAAAAAAGTTTAAATTATTTTCAACGTTAGAAACCATTGAATGTTTTTTTTTCTAAATTTATTGAAAATACTTTTTTTTTCAACCACGTGATCACAAGACTCTGTTGAACCGTTACTTGATGTTTGGTATATATTTTCTTCACAAGACGATGTTTTGTGGCATGTTGTCTTGCAATTTGATACTAAAAGTTGAATAATTAAGCATTACTCCTAAAGTTGTATATATATATATATATATATATATATATATATATATATATATATATATATATATATATATATATATATATATATATATATATATATATATATATATATATATATATATATATATATATATATATATATATATATATATGGTTCTCAAAAGTGTAGTTTACCCAACTGAATTGTGTCAAATACCTGATTAGCCTCTAAAAACGTAAAAAAATTGACTAAAACTTAAAAATTACCTTCTTTGGGTGAGTGGGCCGGGGTTTTTACGGGTGTGTATGGAGAGTGGAGCAAAACTGCCATTATATATCTATCTATCTATCTATCTATCTATCTATCTATCTATATATATATATATATATATATATATATATATATATATATATATATATATATATATATATATATATATATATATATATATATATATATATATATATATATGGTTCTCAAAAGTGTAGTTTACCCAACTGAATTGTGTCAAATACCTGATTAGCCTCTAAAAACGTAAAAAAATTGACTAAAACTTAAAAATTACCTTCTTTGGGTGAGTTGGCCGGGGTTTTTACGGGTGTGTATGGAGAGTGGAGTAAAACTGCCATTATATATCTATCTATCTATCTATCTATCTATCTATCTATCTATCTATCTATATATATATATATATATATATATATATATATATATATATATATATATATATATATATATATATATATATATATATATATATATATATATATATATATATATATATTATATATATATATATATATATATATTGTTTTTTATTTTATATTATTATTTTACTGATGAAAATTAAATAAAAAAGTAAATAAAATAAACAAATAAAAAGTTTTATTATTTACTATCTAATTAAATAATAAGGATTTATATTTTTTGAAGAATTGGAATTTTTATTCGGAAATTTGTTAGAATTTTGAAACTTTGTAACTAAACAAACGGAAAGAAATGATAATGAATTTGGAAATATAAATTTATGAAGTTTTTACACAAGGTTAGAGTAGTTTTTTAGATGTGAATGTGAAAGTTTATTATAGTTTGCAAAAAGCTGTATAGAGTAAAGTTTATTTATAGCCTTAGTTTGTATGAAAAACTATACAAACTTCAATACGAAACACAGTTTAAATTAAATCTGATAGCCAATACAGAGTGGGAATTAACAAATATTCTATATTTATTGTGTTTGCAAAATAAGTATGAGATAATAATCGCAGCTGGCAAGGGCGAGATTGTGAGAAATTTCATTTTTCATTTTATTTTATCCTAAATTTTGACTGTTAAAACTATGAACTTATTTTCAACTTACGGCTACGTGAGGTTTTAAATGATTAACGTCGTAAATTTGTTCTTATAGAGATCAATAATCTTTTTTTTCACAACTTCCAACTCAACCGACAAATTAAACCTTAAAAGTTTATTTAACGTGTAATTTGCCGGGTTATTAATTTATAGTAATATTTTAAAACAACAAACATGTGTACAAAATGAAGCACGTGTACAAAATTACAAACAGCGCACGTACAAAAATTCAAACAACATATCAGTAAAAACTACAAACAGCACGTGTGCAAAAAAAACTTTTAAAAAGTGTTAAAAAGTTTAAAAACTAGAAAAAAAATTTTCATTGATTTACATTCTTATTTAATCAAGATTATTCAGAACGTTCAAAAGAATTTTTTTGATTCCCGCTGAAATAGTGTTTCTTAAAGTTTTATTTCATTTTTAACAGTATTTAAACTAATTTGGTAATATATAAACTATTTTTAAAAAATCACAAGTTTTGCAACAAATTAAATAAATATATAAAAGACTGTAGAGTAAAGGCGCAAAGAATGAAATAGAGGATAGATTGAAATAATTTTGACTATGTTTAATCTTTTTCTCCTACTTATTTATTGAATAAACATTTTGCAAATATTATTTGATCATGCTGTAAAAAATTTTTTTTTTGAATATGATAATACAAAATTTTAATATGAAATAAAAAAAAATTGTTTTATAATAAGTAATATTTATTATAATATAAAAATATTTGACACACCTATATTTCATCACTGAGAGCCGCTTCATGCACGCAAGAAATAGTAGCGAAGTATTTCAACACTTTGTAAAGTGAATTCAACAAGCAGTTATTAAAAAATGCCCTTCATTCATGGAATTTTGACAAAATTGGCTACTCTGGTAATCAAGGAACGGTTACTTACTCTGCTTACTCTGGTACACGGCCGCTTACTCTGGTAAGCAGCCGTGGCGCAGTGGTTAGAGTTCTGGCTCAGAACCCAGAGGTCCGAGGTTCGACGCCAGCTCTAGCCCAACAAGCGACATTGGTACGGAAGGAGGCGCGAACTTCCTGTTAAATGCTCTCTATGATAAGACCGTAAGGACTTCTGGGAGCACCTAAATACATACAAAAAAAAAAAAAAAAAAAAAAAAGAAAGCAACGCATAGTTTGCAGACGTGATGCTAAACAACCATTGAAATTTTTAGCAACAATGAAATAATTAATTAAAAAAATCAATTAGAAATTTTATTAATGCTGCTGGTTATTGTCTTGCGCCATACATTACTTTTTAATAAAAAAAACAACGTCTTTCCAAAAATTAGTACTTAAGTGATTCAGACGATGCCGTATACGCAACATCTCCGGATGGATGGAAGATAGAAGTAATTCGTGCGGTTTCTCACTGGCGTGTACTTTTCCGCCATTAAAAAAAGTCTAGGTAAATAGTTTAGTCGATTTGTTAAAATTTAATCACTTAATTATTTAATAAATAAATCAAATTTTGGTCCATTAATAGGTACTCTTATTTAAGTCGTAGATGGGCCTAAAATTTTTCGGTCTCAGCTTTTGTCATCTCAACCACCAGAACCAACCTTTGATATAACTCCGGCTATAAAAAAGGAAAATCAAAAAGAACTTCAAAACAATTGGAATTGGCCCAATCTCTTTGCATCTAATCTTTCGCATGGAATATGTTGACAAAAAAAAAAAAAAAAAAAAAACGAAAAAATGTACACGTGCCGAGATGTGAAGGGGATTTTCTCATAAATATGAAATATTTGAAAGATGCAAAAAAGCAACAAAGCAAGTTAGGAAAAAGTAAGTTTGACTTTAATGATGAGCAACAAATAAATCAATCAACAACAGCGATTCAACACCATCACAAAAATATGTTTTTAATTAGTTGGTTGTTTTTTTTTATTTTTATCACTGTTTGCATTTTTTTAATTTATTCTTTCCAAATGTAAGGGTAAAATTTAATTTAAGTAAAGCTTATTTTTAAATAAAGTTTCTTAAAAAAAATTTTTAAAAAACCTTTTTTTTGATTTTTATATATTTAAATACACCTCAAAGTTTTCTACAATTTAAAAAAAAAAATTGAATTAAAAATATTTTTCCGTAAAAAAAAAAGAATGACAGCTAGTAACTATTTCATTCAACCCGCTCACTCTACTAGTTATATAACTGTAAACTTTTATAAATGTAAAAGTAATAGAACATATAACTGTGAGCTTTTATAACATTTAAAAGTTATAGAACATATAACTGTGAGCTTTAATAACATATAAAAGTTATAGAGCATATAACAGTAAACTTTTATAACAAAGTTTTTAACATATAAAAGCAGACCAGAAAAGCATACCTGAAAAACAATAACCTCTCATTAGTCTAATTTGAATTGATTTTCCTCGGCCGGTATCGCCGTCATCAAAAAGTACATCGTAACTGTCCCCACGTCTCATTCCAGAAACAACACCAGGATATAATGTATTTCGGTGCATCCATTGCGCTATTACTCTTGTCCCAATTTTTATTTCGGAAGCATTTGGTACCAAATCCGGTATGAGAAGTCCAGATGCCTCCGACTTATAATAAACTTCACTTTTACCGTTAGCAAAAGTAATGTAAATTTTTTCGTCGTCTATTGAATTTACCTTACCTAAACAATACTCGCCGGTTTGGAGTTTAGCCCAAGTATGAACACCAACTTGAAGACAGGCTAAAAAAAATTGAAACATAAATTTGTCAAAAATGCCCAAAATAGCGTTTGTTACATGGTAAGATGGAATAAAAGCTAAATAACAAACAGTGATAAATCTTATGTAGGCGGATTTATACTTGCGCATGGTTTCCGATTCAGTAGAAAACTGGCTTCTTCTTTAAAATTTGTTGTACCATCGTATTTATCAATCATAATCTCGTTTTCCACTGCTCGAATAAAATGGGACGGTTTGCTTGCAGATTCAAATGAAAAAAAATTTTTAAACCACATATTTCGAAGAGGTATAAATGTTGTATCTTTGTCTATAAAGAAAAAAAAAAAAAAGAACTAGGAAGTTAAACATATTATGAGCGTGATCAAAGTAATTCTTTGATTGTTTAAATACTAATTTATACATCTTATTTTGAAGTATATAAACTTAATTGACTTCATAATTCTTATATATAAATGTAAATAAAAGTACATTTACATATCTATTTATGCTTTTAAATCACTTTTTAACTAAAGAAATGTTAATTTTTTGCAATAAATTTTTTATTCTTTTTATTTTGTTATTTAGGTGCCCCAAGAAGACCTAACGGTCTTGTCACAGAGCACCGCGGAAGTGCATTTAACAAGGAAGTTCACGCCTCCTTTCTTACCTTGACGCGAAAATATGTCCAGAGTTCGTTTCGAACCTGGGTGCGGATTCACCAAACTTTCGAAACTCTTGCGTAGCTCCACTAAGGTTACGGAAATCGTACGTTCAGCGTTGTTTTCGTAAATATTTGGTATTAACCAATGTTTCGCAGCATTTCCGTAAAGTTAGCGTTGCGCACAAGTTGCGCTGACCTTACGCAAAAACTTACGCAAAAAAACAACTGAGTTGAATTTTTATTTAAATGAACCAAATTTCGTAATTTTATAAAACAAACTTTACTAATATTGAATTCATATAATTTCTAACTAATTTAAATTAGGAGATATTACTAATTATTATTTTTTAAAGCGTAATAAAATGACAATACTTTTATAAAACTCTGCTATAAAAACTAAATATTTTTTACTGAATATTTATTTAGTAAAAAATATTTTTATAAAAATTAGGAAAATAATTTTAAGTAGAAAACAGGTAGAGAAGAGTTTATAATTGATTAATCTACAAAGTGGTTATAAATTTAAGGCAGATAAATTTTGACTATTAATACACAAGTAATAAAAACTATTAATACACAAGTAATAAAAACTTTCATTTTTTTCAATCATAAATATCACGTAAATAGTATTTTTACAAATAATTAATAATATAAATTATAATACGAATAATTAAAAATTTGTATACTAATTTATACATATTTAATACTAATAAATAGTTAGCAAAAGTCTTTTGTGAGTTTCTGATAAGTTAAAAGTTTCGGATAAATTAGAAATGCCTTTACAACAATGAACCAAACACTGAAAACTTGGAATAAATTTCCTCATAATTACTTTTTATAGATTGATCACAACCTGAAGGAAATAGTTTTGTAGTTTTTTTTCAAAGTCATCTATGTAAAGTATTTGGTACTTAACGGTACTTTTAATAAAATGAACAATGTTTCAAGAGTTGAACCTTTTCAAGTGCTCAGAAGATAATAAAAATAGAGTATCTAAAAAGTTTTTAAACTCTCATTTGTAAAATTTATAAAAATCAAATACCGTCTGAGAATTCGGGTTAGAACTAATACTTTTTGTCATTAGTCTTTTTTATGAACTCTTTTAAAATCAGGCTCAAAATTAATACCTAATTGAAGCGCATACTTTATTTGAAAATTAAAACTAAAAATCTCAGTTGAGCTGTTTAGCAACATGAAAGCAAGCATTGGTACTTTTCATAAAACACAAAAATACTAAGAATTCAAATGTTTTAGATAATCCTAAGGCTTGAGTTCTTGTATTTTTATCTAAATATTGGTCAGTTGACGTTTCTACAACAGTATTTATTATAGTTTTGTTAAATAGGAGTTGTAAGGAACTTATAATCAATGATAAACTTTTTTGTAAATTTTTTTGAACCGGAAGAAAAAAAAACTATTATTCTCACACTGAAAATAAATTTCTAACTATAATACTGGCATCGCAGCGGTGTTCATGAAATGAATTAATCCTATGGGCATGGCATGGTATGACATGGATTTAGGCGATGAAGAAGATCGTATAACTTTTATTGTGTAACATTTCCTTTGCCAGACATACTATATGTTTTATATCATACATATTATAGGTATGTTTTCTTTTATAACCATCATCAAAAATGCTATAACGTACTTGATTTACCACTTTTGTTCTCTTTCATTATTTGTTTTTATTAAAATTGCATTTTAGTAAAATTGTTCAGAAAACACATAAAAGAGCTGCATGAACTGATAAATAAAACCAGTAAAGAAAAATGTACCCAGATCTATATCTGATTATACTTTACTTTAAACAAAATCTATTTTAAAAATCCGTTCTTATTACTCTTTTATCCAAAATCTGCACTATTTTCTCACTAAAATTTAAGTCATTTTTTATTATTGATAACAAAGTCTAAAAACAATGTAAAATATCATTTCTAAAATGAATTCATTTGAATTGCACACTGAGGCAGTTAAACTAATTTTTTACCGACAAAGACTTAGTGTTTGGGAAGGGGGTGTCACCTTCCTACGCACCCCTTCCCTCCATCCCCTATTTCCGTTCTTGATAACATTAATTCCGTTATTCGTGATAACATTCATTCATTCCCTTATTCATGATAACATTCATTCATTCCGTTATTCATGATAACATTTAGAGACGGGTCATTACAGATAAGTAAGCAGATCAGCAAAGCAAACGAAGTAGAGAAAACAAGCAGAGCAGATAAGCAAGAAAACAGATGGAGAGTCTTGTGAAGGTTGAATGACTTGAGATTTTTTGGCTTTAAAGAAATAGGTCAGAGGGTCTTTTTTTATTATGGATCAGCAAATACATTTTTTTAAAGGTTATTTGATTGCTAAATATTTAAATTGACCGAAAAACAGTTTTCTTTTACAAAGATCAACTTCGTTTTGGAAGAACCAGAGGTTATTTATTTGCATAAATGACTTTTTGCGAGGTTAACAATAAATATAATTTCTAACCATGATTTTTCCACCTAACTAAAAAATCAATATTTTCAGCTAATGATAAAATCATTAATAACCAATTGCTTTTTTAAATGTTTGTTTCCCTGTGCATTGAAAGAATTGTTTTAGTAAAATGCTGTAAAACCTGAAACTTTTAACGTCTCTTGCAGTGAAGGAAATTTTTTAGTGAATTGCTGTAAAACCTGAACCTTTCAACATTTCTTGCAGTGAAGGAATTGCATTAGCGAAACGCTGTAAAACCTGAAACTTTCAACGTGTCTTGCAGTGAAGGAGTTGTTTAAGTGAAACGCTGTAAAACTTTTAATGTCTCTTGCAGTGAAGGAATTTTTTTATCAAAGGAATTAAATCACAAAGTTCATCTTTGGTTGTATTTTCATATGTGACTAATTGACTAGTTTTAATCTTTTATGTTGAATTCAGCATCATGTATTTGGAGTTCCGTCTGGTAGAAACAGGTTGATTGATTTGTGTTACTTTTACATTAGCGACTGCACATCCTGCCTCGAATTCTCCACAATCAAGTTCTTATTGAACAAAACCACAAGGTTTTGTTGAAGAACATCATTAAATGTTGTTAAAGAAGACCACTAGGCTTTGTTAAACAACATCATTAGGTGTTGTTTAAGAAGTTTTTATTAAACGTTATTGTCAAGAAGTGCAACTCTAACTAATTTGAGCTAAATAATTGCAGAAAACAAGCATGATAATTAAGATACAATACAATATATAATAATGATATAATTATGAGAATTGAGTTATTTCATCTAGTTTTTTGCATGTCTCGATGAGGACATAAAAGTGAGTTTCCACTCATCCGTTTTTTTACGGAAACGGGATAGGGAAGGGAAAATAATCATGTGAGCATGTGTAGTTTTTTTTTTGAACAAATTAATACTTATACTATGCATGCCCACGTAATTATTTTTCCTTTTTTTTTTACCTTTCCCGTAAATAAACGGATGAGTGGAAACTCACATTAAAATGCTGTTACTTTTTTTTAAAATCACATCATTTTAATGTATATCAGGTACCAAAAAAACACTTTTTTTAAAATTTCAATGTGCTCTCAATTGATTCCCACTCTATAGGTTCTAAATAAGTACCAAAATCTTCTTTTAAATTTTTTAATGACTAGAAGTGATAGATGTAAATTCTGAGTTTTATAGTTTTGTACACATATGTGTATTTACCTAAAAACAGCGCTATCAAGTATTTCAATATGTTTTTGTATGATGTAGTACCTGGTACACAAATAATTCCCATAGGACATTATTAAAGATTGGCATCATTCCCTATAAACATTGTTAGCGATTGATATAATTCCTTCTGGGCAATATTATTAGTTGGCATAATTCCCCATGGATTGGTTCACAAATAATTCCATTTAGAAATTTTTTTTGAAGGAAAAAAATTTCGCAATTATTTCGGAATTATTTGTGCACAAAAGAATTCTAATTTGTGTACGAAGGAATTTTCGTGTAAACGGTTATAAAAGCCGTAACGGTAAACTTAGATTAAATATGATACGAGAGGAAACTTCATAGATTTTTGACTTCATAGATTGTTGATGCAAGTGTAATATAGTATAAATCTAGTTAAAAACTGATTATTTCGAAATTCAAATAAAAAAATGGGTAGAACAACTAAGAAAAGGATGATGATGGGACAGAATAAGAAAAAACGGAAAAATACAGAAAGGTTGAGGTACATTTACCTATTGAAATGCCCACTGAGGGATTTACCTAAAAGACAGCTTCCATCTAATAGCGATATTTTAAAATACTATCAATTTATCCTTCGCGAGTCACAGGTTAAATACAAACCCACTTCTACTAATGTTAATTGCAAATTGAAATCGAAATCCAAGGATCTTGTTTGTGAAAATGGTGTTCGTACAGATCCTGATTATTATTGCTTGGTAACTAGGATTAAAAAAATTAGGGATAATGCAGGGTTTGGAAAGAAATTTGTGGTTTCTGGGTACAATATAAAAACCAAAATCATTAAACTTGTAAAATGTAAAGTATAAGTAATTGATTAAATTGTCTTCTCTAAACTGAGACAGCAATCTTAATAAGCAATCAAAGTTAGAGAAAGATTTCCTCACAGAATCTAATCAGCTTTTTGACATCTCGAAAAGATATTCTTGCTGATAGATTGAGAACAGATGATACCAAGCTGGAAGATAAAAAGTAAGTTCATTAAATAACACCTTTTTCAGCAGTGAGATAATCTTTCCGATTTAAAGTAACTTAAGTAATAGCATATTATTTCCTTTCCAATATTTACGTTTAACTCTTTCCATAATTTGGTCATCATCTTCCAAGAAAAACTAAAACAATTATTAATTTATTTATAAACATCTTAACAGATTTAAATATTATTTTAGTTTTTATGAAGACCAGAAGTTGGATAGGAAAGGATATACGGGAACAAAAGTCATTGGAGACTACAGTAGGAGAGTATTGGATGCAAATAAGAGAAAGAACAAGCTAGATAAGTTGAGAGATAAAGAATTAGAGAGAAATAACTTAAAAGATTTCATAACGATGTTTTGTTGTCACATGACTCCATGACAGAAGAGATTCAATTCAGCAGTGAGGAAAAAAAGTCAAACGAGGACTCTGAAATCAGCGAGGAAGAAGATTTCCTGTGTAACGGTCGGAAACGCAGGTAAAGTATCATTTTAATAACATAGTTTTAATTTTCACAAGCTAAAGCTGTTTTATTGAAAAGTATATAACTATAAATATGTAGAAAAATATTATAAAATTATACCTAGGAACAATTCTGGAGATAGGATTAATCTAGCAGTGAATGTTGAATAGCTCATTGAATGTACTGCTATTCCAGCAACAAGTTTCAATGTTCGTGTACGACATCATCTGGCAATTTTAAGTGAAATAATTAAGGCCGGAGGTATAGAAATTAATGATATACCGCTTTTACGGAGAACACTTCGTAGAAAAAAGTTTAAATATGTAGAACTTGAAGGAAACTTGGAGTGGATTTCAATAACGAATAATCTTTAAGGCCGACGGCTTATTCTTTATTTTGATACCAAACTGTTAGAAAAAATTACCACCACGCATAATACTATTACAAAAATAAGCAACTTGCAATCTCAGTGAGCTCCCCGGATGATGACACCATCGAAGACCATCTTTTAGGTGTTGTTCAATGTCCCTCTTTAAAGGGAGATGACCAAGCAGAATAAGTAGACAATCTTTTAGAATATTATGGATGTAAAGAGCAGATCATTGGTGTATGCTGTGATACAACTACAAGCAATACAGGCGGAGTCAATGAACCAGTCCGAATTTTTACAGATATTTTGAAATTACCAATGTTGTGGATAATGTGTAGGAGACACATACATGAAGTACATGTATCTCACTATATGGCTGCTCTTACTGGTGAGAAAACTAAATGTCCAAGAGGAGCTCTTTATGTCAAGCTAAAGAACAAGTGGCCTGAAATCTGTAAGAAAGTTAATGAAGTGAAAAATTTATGTAAATTGGACTGGAAAAGAGATGATCTGGAGAAGATAGGCTCTGTTCTTTGCACTGTTGCAGAGGAAGTTAAGACATTTTTGGCTAATGCAACTACTGATTTGGTGTTTTCAAGGAATGATTATGGTATAGTTTGTAAGCTTGCCTCTTTCTTCCTTGGAGCGGAAGTACAAGATTTGAAGTTCCATCAACCTGGCGTCTACCATTAGGCAAGGTTTTTAGCAGATGCAATTTAAGTCCTGATTCTTTATATGACTAAAGATATCAATAATATATTGACAGAAAAAGAAGTGCTGCATTTGAAGGATGCAAGTTTGTTCATTGCAATTTGCTATGTTCCATGGTTTTTGAAAAGTTTTTTAGAAATTCTGGCTCCCTGCAATAATTTGATAGCTTTCCAGACAGCCTATGCATTGAGAAAAGTTAGTAAGAAGATTGGAAATGCTTTGCTTCTAAGCATGGGACGCCAAACGTGGTACTTAACGAAGCAACTCTGTGTTTTGCCCTTTGGGTATAAAGAAGTTGATTCTGAAACAAAGCTAAAAATGCTCTTAGCTCTGATTAAGTTAAAAGAGCAAAATGAATTTCAGCGATGTAAGCAATCAAATGTAAAAATTGACCACAGAGCTACATGAGTTGATTTCCAAGCAAAGCTACCTTTTCTTCAAACATTTTAAAATATCAAGAGCAAGTATAAAAGAATAGCTCAATAACAGTCTTAGTACTATAGATGTTTTTAACCATCCTCAGTTGCTAGATTTTATTGTATGGATCAAAAACATATCTGTTGTAAATGATGGTGCACAAAGAAACATTAAGCTCATGAAAGATTTTATTTCAGCAACTAAAGATGAAGATTACCTTTAAAATCTACTTTTTGCTGTTAAAAAAACTAGAAAAAAATTGACTAAGAGTATGACCAAAAAGGAGCTTGGAAACTGTTCAAAAGTTTGTATTTTTTGAGAAATATTTCACCGCAATAAAATCTTAAATTTGTTAATAAATATTAGTTTTTATGTATTTTTTTTTTATTTGTATTTTCATATTTATAAATATATACTATCAAGTTAAATATTAACGGAAACAATTAGAAATGATTTATACGCATCTTATTGTTTTGTTTTAATTTTCTAAAATGTAAAAAAAAGTTGTGTTTTTTATTAATGTTAAATAAAGTACGTACGCTTTTAACCTATTTGTATAACATTTTATGATATTTTTTAAATTTAGTGTCTTCATTCTTTTATAATTGATCCACTTCCTCCCATCTCATATACGCCATTTGCAGACCCACTCTTCCCCTCCCAGCGTACGTACTCTATGGACGTTCCCTATGCCAGCTTAACATTAAAACCATATAATTCAGATTTTACATTTAGCACAAAGTGAACTTTTTCGTTTTTAGACCTTGCTGAAAGCAGTTTCAAAATACTGGTTACAGCTGTACATGGTGTACAATGTACACCATGATTATGACTTCAAAAAATGCGAATTGTTTATTGATATTTTATTTACATATTATGCTTTTTAAATAAATAAATACGTTTACGGCAAGTAGCCGCCTCGTTAAATCAATAAATCAGAAAATGAATCTAAGAAGCTTTAATGATTTTATAAAAACTTACTAAAATATGGGTCAGCGGTATCATTATCTGGAATAAGTAAATTATCTTTTACGCGTAAATACGTTCCTTGCTTCCCTATTACTTCAAAAGAAATGCCATCAATTTGCCCTGCTCGTGGGTCAACAATTCTGTATTTTTGTTGTTCTTTTTTTTTAGAACTCCGAGTACGAAATGAAATTTCATCTAGAGTTTCTTTCAATCGCACCGAGCTTCGGATTGAAATTTTTCTAATTGAGTCCTTTTAAAAATAGAAGAGGCAACAGTTAAAAACTTTATTAGTATAAATTTTGTGTGTATATACATACATACATACATACATACATACACATACATACATACATACATACATACATACATACATACATACATACATACATACATACATACATACATACATACATACATACATACATACATACATACATACATACATACATACATACATACATACACACATACATACATATATACATATATAAATATATATATATATATATATATATATATATATATATATATATATATATATATATATATATATATATATATATATATGTGTGTAAAAAAACAAATTTATTTAAGTTATTTCTAATATAAAACAAAAAAAAAACCTTAAATGTGTTTCGAGTAACACTCATGACAATTAAGATTACTGTTTATTAGATACAAAGTGTGTCATTGGTAACTTTCTAATGCTATTTTTTCTTTTATTATTCTTTAATCATGCATTTTTTGAAACTTTAAAAAAAATTGTGGTTATTTGTTTTATTTTCTTTTAACATAAGAAGAATGGAAAATATCTCCTCCTACTAAAGCATTACAAATGAAATCTGAAAATCTTTTTTTTGTGTGTGCTTTTTATAGAAAAGCACAAAAAAAAAAAACTAGCTTTGATATCAACTTTTTAAAACTATAAATTATTAAAAAGGCAATTATAATTGATTGAATAATTAAACAAGTTTTGCAATGAAAAGTAGAGAAACAAAAAAGAGTTATCTGAATCCTGATAAAAAACGTTTTACTCATCAAAATACAAAAATGAATTTAGTACAAAACAAGTATCGTGCAAAGTTTTTCAAAGAATTCGACAATTCTAAAAACTAATTTAATTCTGATTCATTCAAATAAAAAGTGAGTAACTAGGCTTCATGGAATTTTAGAAACAAAATTCAAAATGCTTCATTAGACATAATTCAGAAAATAAAAGACGTCATTTAATTATGCTTTAGATTTTTTATTTTATTTTTCTCCGTAGAACATTATTTTGTTTTATTGAAGAAGACTACTAGGTTTTTTTAAAGAACATCATTAGGTGTTGTTGAAGAAGCCCACTACCCAGCTAGCACACAAACGTTGGTAAAACATTAGAACAATGTCGCACGTTTTGTTGGCCCAACATCAACTGCCAACGTTGTTTTTATATCATTATGGTTAAAAATGCGACGTCGCCAACAACTAAAAACCAATGTTGATAAAACATTTATTTAAAGTCGGAAACAGGTTATATTTTCTACGTTGATACAACGTTTTATTTTATACGTTGGCACAACGTTGTGTTTTACGTTGTTTCAACATTGTATTTTAAGTTGGTACAACGTTGAATTTACGTTGAACTTTAATTGGCAAAATGAATATATATATATATATATATATATTATATATATATATATATATATATATATATATATATATACATTTGATATATACACACACATATATATATATATATATATATATATATATATATATATATATATATATATATATATATATGTATATATATATATATATACATACATATATATATATATATATATATATATATATATATATATATATATATATATATATATATATATATATATATATATATATATATATATATATGTATATATATATATATATATATATATATATATATATATATATATATATATATATATATATATATTTATATATATATATATATAGATATAGATATATATATATGGTTAGAGTTCTGGCTCAGAACCCAGAGGTCCGAGGTTCGACGCCAGCTCTAGCCCAACAAGCGACATTGGTACGGAAGGAGGCGTGAACTTCCTGTTAAATGCTCTCCCGCGGTGCTCTATGATAAGACCGTAAGGACTTCTGGGAGCACCTTAATACATACCAAAAAAATATATATATATATGTACGGACCACTAAAGGACCTTTCTATACT